TCAGTTGACCTTATCGCCTGAAGAAGACTAGCAGTAAGCAGTCCAAACGTCGCGATCTACATCTCAAGTGACTACATCGTGAGACAAACGATAATACACTTTATTATCGCTTTTCAGTTCGAACCTACTTGTACGACTACTACTCTTATTTGTATCTGCTACCACTACTTGTGTTCTACTGGTTTTCGCTATTTCTTCAGTCGCTATGTATTGTGAACTTGATCTATTGACTTGATCTGTCATTAAATCAGTTTGAATCTACCAAGTGGAGTTCAAATATCTCGCACCGCGCTACCCCTGTAGTTGTTTAAGATTTGAGTACAGGCAACCTCTAGAATCTTTACAATTACAAGGCCCATTATATTTCTTTTGTGAGCATGGTATGGTGGCCTATCTTTTTTATTTTTTAAACACTTGGCCCCAAGAAAGCACGCATAATTTTTAACAAAGGTGGGGAAGGGGAGCAGAAAAGCTTAATACTTATAAGGGAGCAGCTCCACATTGGCTGTTGCTGGTGACATTCCTGAGATGACTAAATTTTAACAAGCATGTAAATCCACATTTAGAATTTTCTCTTAAATGTTCAAAACAATTTCTCTAAAGTTCTTGCACACGTTCTACAAAATACCCTAATTTTGTTGCAAACTGCCCCCTTCCCATAGAAACTACATAGTCATGGAATTCACTTCCCCCAAACAACAACAGCTTACTTAATTACATTATCAACTAAATGATTATGATGAAAGTTGATTCTATTGATTCTATTACCACTGGGGTATGATAACCAGGATATACAGATTAAATATATTACTTATGGTTCACTTAATCAAATTTTATTCTACTGTATAAACAAAAGTGAAAGGAACACGACAGGTGTATTTCCCAATACAACTTTGTATCCTGAACTAGAAGTCCACTGCTTTCGTAAGATTTGTTTAGGCTAAATTGTCACTGAAATTTCTTACCTTTGCAATATAGTTACAAAGAAAATTCATGGAATTTTAGTATTACAAATTTCATGGAATTTTAATATTTTGAATGGATGCATCACTTCACTGAAAGTTTGCAGGAGTTCCATGACAACACATAACGGTAGCATAATTGATTGAATTTCCCCCTCATTACATCTGTAATGTACTGTGCTTTTGATATAAAAAATTAAGGGAGGTAAACATGCGTACTTGTAACAATATGTAAGACATGCAACTGGCATAAGGATAATTTCACCTGCCATAACTTCTGCAAGCTTCTCTTCTTCTGCTTTTCGTTTTACCTGAAAAGACAATCACACCTTGGTTTGCAGGAACAAGACCAAAACATAAAACAGCTTACTGTCAAGTTGTTACAAGCTACCTGATTGGCCACTAGTATGTGTCAATTCAATACAAAAGTAGCACAGTACCTCCAGATCATTTTTCTTTTCCTCCAGTTTTTCCAACTCTTTTTTACTTTTCTCAGGAACATTCTGAAGTTCTTCCAGCTGTATAATTAAAACAAAGTATGCAGTGAATTCAAAGAAGAACTACCCAAGGTTGCTGACAAAGCAGCAACTCCTGATGCATAGAGCGCTCATTCTGGAAGGGTATTGGACAACTTACAATCACAATGTCTGGCAAATTTTCGAAAATTTAAGGTGGCTCTGAACCCCATGCGCATAATTTTTTTACAACTTTGCCAAAGTTACAATTATTTATCCTGCTAATCAAACTTTGATAATAAAAATGAGGGGTTACCTAGCTTGGTTTTGAGTTATAAGCAGTCAAAGCTAAAATTAAGGATGTTTTTAGCAGGTCGTTATGTTGCTATGGTAACCTATTGTCTCAAGAAAATGATAATAAAGTTTTAAAGTCAATCGTTAAAGCGCAGTTAATGGAGTGTGACACTATTTACGTACAGTCACTAGCTTACTATTGTTAAACGTAACGCAATAGAACTGTTACATGTTAGAACATTATAGAAGTTTTTCTTGTCTAGTTTAAACAATATTCACAATAGCCTTTCACGCATGCATGCTGCAACAACGCCTGGTTTAACTATATCATGCGTTTTGTATGGCTAGTCTTTTAAATAGCCCTATTCTTGTTTCCTTCAAGGCTGCATGGGCGCTGTACTTTTCATGGTACACGATTTTATATTGGTTTAAACCCAGACATCAGTCTACCTATAAAAGAGTCTTAGCTTGGACTCCACAGGTATCAGTGGCGGTTAAGTCTTGCAACAACTTCCCCAAGCTTCGTTTTCGCTAATTCAGTGGTGCTATTTAACGCTCTTTTATGCCTCTTCTTGTCCGATCCAGCACGTGCCAGCAGAGTCGGCTCGTAGTGCTGGGGAGATAAGTAAGGCTTGAGAACTGTCTACACTCTCGCACGATGCTGACCAGAGGTCAGCTCATAGTGCCGTTTAGAGTTACGCTTCTAGGACGCGCAAGCTTTTGGCCTTGCCAACTTGTCCAATCCAGTGCAGAATTAACTGCTGGGGAGATAAGTTTGGCATTTGGTCACACAATGGAAGTTTGTCTGTCACGCCGATTGCGGAGCGGTGTTCCCCCCTTTACGCCATACAATGCGTGTTTATTGCTTGTGTTTGTCAGGGTATTTAAAGCATTACTCCCTAGGAACTGCAACATTAACAAGGTGTTCACCAATAATTGGACAGTTTTTTGATACCATGAAAGGCATCCACATCGGTCATCAAGTCATCAGCCGGGCAAGTATGCCAGATGATATAATTGCCCTGGGAAAATTTTACTTGTGAGTTCAATAGGGACGAATGGCAACTGAACAGCATGTAAATGAACAGTTTCCATTATTATTATTTTTCACGTGACAAGTCTCCCAGTACATCATGTCCGTAGTTGCCGCTGTCAGCCTACAAAGAAAATCCAGGTACAAATGAAAACCAAGGCCTCTTTGACTGCCATGAGGGCTGAAAGAAATGCTTTTGCTCTTCCTGCTCGTATTTGGTTTGTTTTTCCAAAGTGTTATCATTATTACCTAACACCATATCCTTATCAAAACAGCTGATGCGATCGCGCCATGTGTTGTTGCTGATGCAGATGTAGTGCAGAGCATCAGCGGTTGACAAAATGAAAATTGAGCCGGCAATGATTTCATTCATAGAGAATACCACATCATCCAAAATGGCGGACCAAAGTGATGATTTTATAGCAAAAGAAAGCTGCAAATCTTTATCTGTTTTCTGAAAGTTCCAAATGGATGACAAGTGGTCAGAATGCAGGGAACATATGAGAAAATTTAAGAAACTACGGACGACCAGACAATTGAGAATACAGATCCCTGCCATGATTGTAGCTGATGCTGGAAACTGTTCTGAGCCACCTTAAATTTACTTGAAGTGTCAAAACTGTTCATGATCAATCCTGCCAATTGTCAACCTATTCTTGCAGTTAGTTGGTCAGACATGAGCATGAAGTGAACATGCTTCTATGCTTTTTCCTCACAACTATAGAACCCTTTACCCAAAGAATTAATTGAATCCTTGGAAATATCTATATTAAGTTTTTAGAGAGAGCTATTTTAAAAAAGAAATCCATTCCATGGTGTGTTAAATGAAACTAGTTTTAATGGCACAACAGTCAAATCTATATACATGTAATACAGACACCAAAGGGGCAGATCTGAGTGTCCTTTGAATTCTCAGGCCCATTTCTCAAAAGCCCAGGAAACTTTGCAGGACCGAAAAGTCATTTTTAGTTCATCTGTATCTAAAAACAGAGAGGTGTATACGTCTGAAACTTCTTGCACAAAGAGAACATCTTTTCATGTTAAGAATATGTGAATAAATCAGCTCTGTAGTCAAAAGGTTTGAGATTTTCCTACGGCTTTTCGGGACATCCGAGAAACTGGCCCCTGGTTTTGCTGGGACTAAGTGAACTGTCGATAATATGAAGGTCTTCCTAGGGAGAGGTTCAACTGTCTTATTTTTTAACTTTATACATGTACATTGTACATGTTGTGAATTTTATAAATACACCATAAGAACTTTGTTACGACATGACTGAGAGAATCTCTTGGGTTATATTCAACTGAAAATTAATATAAGCTATTTCAAACAAGACATGACAAACTGTACCTTGCATTTTTCCTTCTCAAGGTTTTTCTGCATCTTTTTGTGATTTTGTTTTGAGTGTTTATAATCCTAGGAGAGAATTAACTCAAACATTCAGAATAACAACTATACCAATTACACTACAGTGTATCTGTCCACTTGCCCAGGTCTCTGCCACATTACCACATAGACCTTAGCCTTGCAAAGTTTACTGAGCAAGCGGAAGAGGTTAAAGGCTGAACTAACCTCCCGAAGTTTTAGGTCATCTCTCTCATATGCTGCAAAGTTCTTTTTGGTCTCCTCAGCTACTTTAGCAAGTTCTTCATGTTTCCTGACAAAAATAAATTGACAACTGTTTTTAAAGTGTATATGACATGAAAAATAATTTCTGCTTATTTGAAAGGCCTTTCAAAATACAAAAGAATGGCATTTTTCTTTTTGAAATATCTTTTTTCGTTTTAGAGATATTGACGTTTTTCTATTATGCAAATTAGATCAGTGATGACATCATAAGGTTTGCAACTGACAAGCGATAAAATACTGAATAATCAATTTCTCTGGAAATATTGAAGCAGTGTTCTCTAAACTTGGCACCACAAATGTGCATCACAAAACAAACAAAATGACACCCTTAGTGCTGTTGCCATGACAACAGTTTCGCTGCTGGTGCTGTCTTAATAAAATCTGAAATTCCCAGTTTTTGTCTTAAACCAAGAACCATCTACCCCACCCAATCTAATGATGGGAGTTTAGACAATATGGGAACTATGTCTGTTCCAAGTAGGACCTTTTGTCTCTCTTTAGAGGTTGCAAATGGGGATATTTGGTTTTTTGAGAGAAAGAGACTGGAGCCAAAAGAGTTGCTATGGCAACAGCACTAAGGGTGTCATTTTGTTTCTTTTGTAATGCACATTTGTGGTGCCAAGTTTCAAGAACACCGCTTCGATATTTCTATGGAAATTGTTTATCCAGTATTTTACCATTTTTTAGTTGCAAACAATATGACATCATCATTGCTCCAATTTGCATAACAGAAAAACATCAATATCTCGAAAATGAAAAATAATATTTCAAAAAGAAAAATGCCATTCTTCTGTAATTTGAAAGGCCTTTCTACAAAAATTATTTGTCAGGTCATATACACTTTAAGCATATTAGCAAGTGTATCATTCCCTGAGTTCTTGTTAACCTGTTCATAAAAGAAACATTGAAAACTTATGAATCATGGTTCAATGCAGTCCTTCCAAAACTGTGGAAGGATGAAAAGATTTTGAGTCAAAACTGACAAGTGGTAATGTTGTGATCAGGGCTCTCAATAAGGACTGTAACCTGTAACACCTGCTATGGTTGAGTATGTTTGATGGGTCCTTGATGTTACGGGTGAATTTGCATGTTGTCAATACAATTTACCCAAAAACTAACAAGTGCGTTACAGGTCTGAAGATCACGGCTACAGGGGAATTGAAACTTAATAACAGCCCTGGTGATATCCATCAATCATCATGTAGCATCTCTTATGAGATACATAGTTCAGACCCTTTTTGCACTAAAAATTCAAAGACTTTTCATGGACATTCCAGGACACGACTCCAATTTTTCAAGGGCCCCTCCACTGAAACAAAAATCCAGTAGAATGTGACACTAGGTGCTCAGATTTAAGGAACCATGCCACATTTCTCCAGGTGTAAGTAGTTTTTTTGATTCTTCCACTATGTGTAGGGCTCAAAATTAACGCTCGCAAACTCTCAAAATGCGAGTGATTTTGATAATCTGCGAGTGAGAAAAATATCCACTAGCAAATGTTTGCGACTTAGAATCATCCATGTCTCCCCAACATTTAGAGAAAACTGTTCGAACACAAGAAGGAATGTACAGACGACATCTGAGGCAAATTAAACAGCAGACGTTGAGCTGAGAAGAGCACATTTTTGTTAGCTACTGGCCAGCGGTATTACACCGAGGCTCCACGCCACACCTGCGCATTAGCGTGTTGTTGTCGTTCCTTGTGGTTTTGGAGTTATCATTTTCCTAACATATGTTAAAAAAAACTTCATTCTTCAAGAGGCCCTCGGGGCCCTCAACCTCTAACACGAGTGCCAGTGGTGATGAAGACCTTGAGCCACAGAAGAACAAGGGTTCATGAAGGTGTTCCATTAAACATCAGTGTATCCTTTGGCAACTGCTGCTTTGAATGAAGATTTTCCAAAATGAAGAGAGTGAAGTCAAACTGCTGTTGTGCTTTGGGCACTAATACCATGGACATGCTGATGAGAGTGAAAATTGACGGCCCAAAAAAAAAAGGCTGATTATCACCTCAGAGCTGAAGTAGATAGGTGGTTGCTGTCGGGACAACGACAAAGGAGACCAATTCTAATCTTTAATTCAGACAGGGTCATTGACATTTCAAAGGGAAAGAATTCACTAGTGGTCTCACCAGTTTGCTAGTGGAAAAAACTCTTACTAGCAAAACTTTGCAAGTGGACTAAAAAGTTAACTTTGAGCCCTGATGTGGGTATTTTTTTCGTCCAGCACTTAGGGCCTGATTACATGAGCCGGGCTGATGTCAGTTTGCTGGGATTTCGGCACGTTTGTTAAATGCAACAAAAATCAAATTCGCGATTACATGACAACTGGGCCAGCCCAATTAGGTGAGATCCCGGTCTCACGGTGACGGGATCCTGGCTAACCGCGCTGAGATTTTTCCATGTAATCACATTTGCGGAGTTAGCCCGGCTTATTAAGCCAGCGAGAGTACAGCGGGTAATACAATGCCTTCTTCCTGCCAAAATCATGCTCGCTCCGGTCTTTCACAGTTCATCGCATCAGCCATCAACCAGGCTGGCTCGCCTCATGTAATACCGGGCTGAAAGTCATCTTGGCACACCAAAGGAGCCTGGCTATCCGGGCCAGCCCGGCTCACGTAAACAGGCCCATAATATGGCAACTTGTTCCTTTTCACTCAAAATTTCAATGTTTTCAAGGACCCACTGTACCTTTCACTAACTTTCAAGGCCTAGAATTTTGATTTTCAAATTCAAGGACTGTCAAGATGTGCACAGACCCTGGAGATGAAGTGAGGGTGTTGTAGAAGAACAGACTTTGGCAAAATTAAAAGCTCTGGGCAGGAGCAATATACAAAAGAACCATTCGTGGGTAGGATTTGCCTCCTGAGAAATGCTGGCAGAATGGGACTGTCAGTGTTCAGGATTGTCTCAAGAGTGAAAGATGAAGTCCTGGACAATATTATGTTCAAGAGTCAAGAAAAAAACACCAAAAGTTGCAAACCAGAACAATTAAGTTGATGATTACAAGGAAAAGTCATGCAAGGTCAGCTCCTGAGACAGATAGAGGTGGTGTGCCTTGTGACAAGAGTGGATGTAGTTAAATATAGCAGCTTTGAAAAGAGAACAATTGCAATGAAGCCCAAGATCAATCAGCTCTATAGACAGGATGTGTAATGATATGTACAGGAGAACCTGTGTACAATAATCATAGTCTCTAAATGTTTGTCCAAGAGAAGTTAAAAAGCAAGGCTTGGCAATGCAGTTAAGCTGTTCACTGGGGTATAAGGATAAATGATATGACCATGCACCAGAAAGGGCCACAGAGAAATTATATTGAGTCAAGATCACAAGCCCACGTTCGGTACTCTCTGCACCTCCCAACATTTCTCTATGGTAAATAAACTCAAGATAATATGACTGCTTTCACACTTATGCACAGAGCTTAGGCAGTTAAAAAGTGTGGAAAAAATTACAGGCTTGAACCTTGAGCAGAATTCATTCCCAAGACCACCATGATCTACTGAATTTTTCCAGGCTTTGTTTTAGGAACCAGCTGAGCTGCATGCAGTACCATAACAAAATTGATGATAGCCAACAAAAAAGGAATTGCTATTGTAACCCCTATCCCTCTAATTGTCATTTGCATCATTGCTAGAAGATAATAGACCGTTTTCTTTTGTAAATGTTTTCTCTTACTTTGATGCTTTCTTGTGTTCCTTCATCTGAACTTTCTTTTTCTCTATAACAAAAAAGGTCAACCACATGAGCTTTCCAGCACAGAAATAAGTACTGGTAATGCTCCACATAATCAGCTGTACCACTGCTGTACACTTCCAAAAATAACAACCCTTATTACTTTCAGAATTAGGAACCTTGGCTTTGTGGTTCATTACTTTACAGGGGTAAAAACTTTCAGGGAGCAAAAAGTTGCTACATCTGAGCTCTTTTTATGACATAAAAGACAGAAATTCATCAAAACAGTTCTTAAAACAATTTATATCTAAGTATGTTGCTGCCACATTGGTGGGCTCTTTACGTCTACACCGTGTTGTCAGTGGCAGGAAAGCAAGTAAGATACAGTCAACTGTTTGTAATTCATGATGCACTGCTATCCTAGTCTGCTGTAACAATATTCTCAGTGCACTGGTTGAGTTTTCAATTTAAATTTGATGAAACATTCCTTTTAATACGCTTCCATTGAAAATGATGCATAGCTTTCAATTTTTATTGGAAGAAAGGTTCGTGGTTAGTACATTCCTGTTACTTGATGAAAATTCTATGGTCCCACTATTTTTGGACAGGAGGAAGGGGTTGGGGGTGGGCTCACTACATGTACTTTTGGGATTTATTAGCAGCCACAATTTTTTAATGTAATTTTCAGGAGGTCATTACTTTCAGATGTTTATGGTAGTTTAGAAGGTCAATTTTGGATCAAGGTCAGCTGCTATCATGGTTACCAAATTTCTTCCTTTCTTCCCTTTTCCTTGTCGCGACATTGAGCTCTCAAAACATATCACAAACTTTGCTCATCCTCTTCGGGCTAATGAGGACTCTTGAGGCTGGAAACATATCACAAACTTTACTAATCCACAAATGGTTTAACTTGGAAAGTGGGGACTTGTAAATGAATGCCTTTAACACATGTACATATAGAAATGAAGGAAAGAAGGGGAAAAAATTTTCCCTGCAAAATGCTTGAACCTACAGTGTACGGTCCTTTGAAGGGGATAGGAGTCATACATTTATGACTGGAAGGATTTAGAGCTGTTTTCAACAATAAACAGACTGTATTGCTAAAGATTGTTAGTGAAACTTATGTTGTATGTTAACAAGAACCTCAAAGTGACTACCATAATCTTTTGCCTTTTACTTACCTGTAAAATCAGCAAGTTCCTTCTTTAATTCGTCAAATCCCTTTTTAATTTCATCTCTCTTTTCTGCTGCCTTCTCTTCATTCAAGGTGCACTCGTATCTGTGAATCAAATTCCCAGAAGTAATGTATGCCATTGACTGGTATTTGGTATTTGGACACCTGAAATTCGTATTTGTATGACTCATTTTTTCCCGATTCCAAATAGTGGTCAGCAGCAAACAATTATACAGTTGAGAGGGTGGATTCCTCTCCTAGCAGGACGCAGGATACTTATCCCATGAGCCTAATATAATGGCTGGCCATAGCTCCCATGCTCAGTGGCAGGGCATCTGGACTAGAAACTAGAAGGTCTTAGGTTCGACACCTAAATGTACCCGAAAAGCTCAGATTTCTTTTTCTGAGTATGCCTGTGTCTCTTGGAAAAAAAACTGTCTTCTCCATTTTACAGATTTTCAATAAATCTATGGAATATTATTACATTTAGTTTCTATCTTTTGTTACACTTGAATGAAAATCTTCCATTGCATATCACCAGGAGCCCATAAAATATAGCTCTGAAAATGCTCAAAAGACTATAATTTGTTGAGTTTCAGACCTCATTATTTAGTGGTTTCAAAAAGTGTACATCAAAAAAGAAATAATTATTGTTTGATCACATTTCCAAACAGTGAAAAGGTGGCCAAAAATACAAAAATGTGCAGTGGAGTGTTTGTTGACAAGCTTAATTGAGATGCTTGGAAGTATGATGAAACTCTGGGTTGAAATTTTGATATATCTTCAAAACTGACATTAAACCAAGAAGAAAACTGGGATAATAAAAATTGTAAAATTGCAGTCTGAGATCCAATATCCAAACTAAGATCACGTAATGATTTCCTTTGTTTTAGCTTGAGAAGTCATTAAGGAGTTTGAATCCATATGTGCCACTAGGCATTACAGGATTGAGAAGATCCAGGGTTATAGAATATTAAGTTTCTAAGCAAATGGCTTGAAAAGGTAGACAGGAAGTTAAATTGCTACTATAGAGTTATAAAATGTAATTTCAGGGAAGATAGGCTCCTATTAAAGCCACTTGTTAAAACCTCTGATGCTCTAGCATTCTCCGTTATTCCAGGTTCCTGCAGATTTCGTGTCACATTAACATAAACAACAATTACGTGAAAGTGAATTTTGATAAAATAACTAGAGATTTTTTTACTCCTGTAAAGAGTACATTATCATTTAACATAGATAAGGAAGAACTAAATTCAAGCATTTTTGTTATTCTCCTTTGCATCTGGTCAGTGTGAAATATTCTACATCAGATTAAACTTTAATACATGGCTATTCTTCTTAAAATTATAACTGTGCAACCAAACTCAGATCATATCTGTAGTGTGAATTTCCCATTTTTGCAGGGCATCCTTAACCTGTGAAATAAAACTTGAATGTATATCTTAGTTTTACCTGATATAATTTGCACAGCTACTTATCCATGAAACCCAACATTTTTTCCAAATTTCAGCCAAATTGGTGATTTAATTTCAGTCTTACCACCTTTTCAGTCTTTTCACCTTTTCAAGGCACTATAACCCTTAAAATAATAATATTGGTCTGAAACAAAACTAAATCACTTACATGTATCTCTGAAATAAGACATTTCTTTGTTTTGTAATGGCATTCTCCATGCTGAGATATTCCACAGCTTCATTCTTGGATCCCTCAAGTTCATCTTTCTCTTTTTCTACAGCTTTCACTCTGTTCAGCTAAAGTTAAATGTATCACGTCCTTTATTAACAACTTTCAACTGGATTTTCAAGGCTGCAAGTATATTTGAAGGTGATGATGGAATAGGGTACTCAGTGAAACAAAGAGGCCAATAGTCTGAGAGCATACACATACAGTGTATACTGTAATAATATTATTGGCACATACAAGTCAGTTGGTTCTAGGTTTTAATGTCTTTGTTTTTACAAATATTATTTCCAATGAACAAATGGTTCACTGTGATGGCTACCAGGGCAAGTGGGTGTGTGCTGCTCATGGCTACATACGTTGCAAGAAGGGCAGGCCATTGTCAACTTCCAAATTTTGATATAAAATGTGTAGGTGCACTGCCTATTGATCAGTTCTACATCAATACTCCATCCTTGTAACTAGCAGTGCTCTCCTCATAGCTTGCATACAGGATCTGTCCTTGTCACTGGGAGTGCCTCTTAGCACTTATCTCCTGCTTCTGTAGAATGGAGCCCCAGTAGAGTTACCCAGGACCTGCAGTAACATCTGGCCATCTGCCTCTTCAGGTGTGTGCTGTCGCTATACACTATGGTTACCAGACGATTGGCGTTTGGGGTTATCTTGGGGATCAGCAGTTCTCCTTGACCAGAACCTTATCCAGCCACAGCATCTACATCAGGGGTGCCACCACTGCCACTCGCAGTGGAGTTTCAGCTATGGTCCACTGGCCCAGCACTGCAACTCAGCTCTACATCAGTTCTCCATCCGAGTCTTAAGCGCCGCTCTCCTTAAAGCTGGCAAAAAGGACCTGTCCCGGTCACCTGCGGTGCCTCTTAGCATTTACTCCTGCTTCCATTGCATGGTGCCCCAGGACAGTTTCTTGGGACCTGCAGCAATATCTAGCCATCTGCCTCATCAGGTGCGTGCTGTTGCTATTCACTATTGATAGTCATCAGATTGTTGGTCCTTCACGTTTTTGGGGGGATTGGAGGAACCAGGTCATATTGCTGGAAAGTCCCTCCATTGTCCAAGCACCTGGAGAAAGGTTTCCATTGGCTGGTTCCCACTTCCAAGGCCTCCTTCTGCATATTGTATTTGGCACCCTGCTAACCTTTTAGTCACCAGTTTTCAAGCTCATCTTTTTGTGATGAGTTTAAATGTAGCTAAATATCATTTTATAATAGGCAAAGTTAAACTTAAACCAATGCAGCCAGCAGTCTGCCCCTTGGTGGTATGTGATCTGTGGGGCCGCTGTCAGGGGATTCACAAGGCCCTTGCATTTCACTACACTACTACACTACATGTTCTGTTCAGTTGGCTGATCTTTGCAGATCATTTCACAGCTCATGCTAGTGAATCTTTACAGAATCTTGCTCCCACTCCTCCCTCCCTCTTGGTATGCTGATATATTTCAGCATGTGAAGGTAACAGTTAGTGGCTGCTTCTCGGGATGGTTCCCACTTCCAGATTTACAACTGAACTTTGTAAAAGCATTGTTTCCACCGAATAACAATGTTTCAACACAGGAGAAATTGCAGGTACTAGTTTTCAACATTGAGAGCGAGAGAAGAAGGTAAGCAAAAACATCCCATTCACAAAATACAGTAAAATACCACAAATGCGCAAATTCAACAATGCATGGTTAGTAGTATCAGGTGGATATTATTTGTCTTGCTTACCTTTTCTCCTCGAGCTTCATTTAAGTTTTCAACCTCGTTAGTTAACTGTTCAATTGGCTCTTTGAAGCGACTTGATCCAACAATGTCTTCTAGATACTCCAGCATGCCTTCTTCATGCTCAGATTGCGCTTTCGGTTTCATCATGGATATCTGTTCAACTTCTCCCTGATGACAGAAATATGGCAGGGTGAATGGAAATTATTCTGTCAAAGATTGACAGTAATGAACATGTAGACTATGGGACCTGCAGTTTACCAATTGGTTTTATACCAGTCTACTGCCCTGAGCAATAGTTAGAGATTTGTTGAACAACAAACATCCTTCTGTGGTACTTACATGCAGTTGTATTGGTCATAATGAAGACAACAGAAACAAATGTGAAATTATACATAATTTTAGAAAATGAAATTATAATTTCAATAATTCACTGCATACATACATACGTACAAACATATCTACATACATGTATATGAATGTATCTACACTATTTAACCCATTGACTCCCGCAGCTTTTTGCCAAAAACACATTTTTTGGATAGTTTGGAGACTTGGATATGAGCCAAAATGAAATTAGCTCCAATCTACTCCGAAAGGCATTTGCAACATGACTGCATGCCTTTCTTTCCACTAGCATTGTGTTTTATGTTATTGCTGCTCTAGCATGCGCAGAAATCAAAATTTGGAGAGAAAGTGACCTACGTCTTTAGGCTTTGGGGTTTTCTCAATTTTTTTTTTTTTTGGTCTTTCCTTTTTCTCCTTTTCTTATCTTTTTGCTGCAGTGATTGACCTTCTACTGGGCTTGCTTCCGGTTCAAAAAATTCTGAGAAAGCATCATCAAGATGGACAAATTTTACCACGGAGTAGTTAAGTGTTGTGGCAGGAAATTTTGCTCCGGGTTTTTCAGTCAAATTTCTGAGCATTTTCATGCATATTTCAGGCTCCATTGAGCTGATCAATCACTCTGAACTGGGTATCACTGGAAGAATCTTTTCCTCCTGCAGAACTTGAGTATAGATGATGCCAATTTTGGTCAAAGGTGATGATGTCAGAAGTGGAGCAAAGGCCACTGCTCGTCACTGGGTTAAATGGCGTAAAGATGAAGATAAACTATTTCTAAGTAAATTGATTTGATAACAGCTACAATCAAATCTCTCAATTAACATGTATGAAATTTATGGTATAAAATGTCTCAATGTTTATTGTTGATAGAGCAAGCTCCCTTCAAGAAGTTGATTTTCACAACCTGATTCATCNTTAATAATAATAATAATAATTCGAGAGGGTGACACACGACAGCATGAACTGATAAACTAGTGGCCCTCTATGCTAAACATCTATGAGTGATTATAAAATAATTTTGAATAGTACAAAGTATGAATATTAATTGCAAAACATCTAACATCTCCAGTTAAAGAATATATATGTGGCTTTAGTTGAAGTTCAGTTATATAAATATTATTGTAATGTTTTAATTTTACGAATAATTTCAATTAACTAACCTGTAAAATGAGAAATCTGTTGTGATCTAAATCAATGCCACAATCTTTAAGAAGTTTAGCCACCTCCTTAAATGGGACTTTGCGGCAATTAACATAATAGTCAGAACTATTGTCTTTGCGTGCTGTGCGTGACACAGTAAATTGACTTCCTGCCACAACTTCATAGTCATCTCCTGGCTGTAGAACAAAAAGAGAGAATGATGGTTAAATCTAAAATGTAGAAAAAAGAAAGAAACATTACCGTATCTCGTTGTTGACAGGTTCTTTGCTTCTTACTGTTGCTGTGCTAATTCATTCATTAGTTCACTGAGGGGATCATGTGTACAAAAGGTATCCGCAGTCAAGTGTCGATCAATACCCTCGATCAATGCCCTTGATTGACACTTGATCATCACCTTGGTTGACACTCGATCAACACTCCTTCGGCATTTCAGTCAACAGTTGGTCGACAGCTGACTAATTTTCAATCGATACATATGAGTCGGTCAACACTCAGCCAACTATCGACCGACCGTTGATAAAGTGTCAATTGAGTGTCGACCAAGTCCAGAAATGTACGCTAATGAGGTGCATGCTCCTTATGATAAGCATCACTAAGTGTCCTAGTTTGTTAAAAAAGGTCACCAAAACACACATAACAATGTCAAATATGAAGTAATATAAAAATGACAATTTGTGATGCTTCTCATTTATAAGGAGCATGCATCTCATTAGCTTTCAAGCCTGGCCATAAGTGGATCGAGGGTATTGATCGACACTCAAGCACAGATGCCTTTATTTTTGTTCCTGCTATCAAGCCTCCTAACAATATTATTCTTTAGAAGTTGCAAGCATCATGGAGCAGATCAATATATTTTTCTGGGTTTTTATCTGAAATGACCATCACCACCCATGACGCAAATGTCTTGCATGGCAAACTTATTCTCCCCTACCTCAACTACTAAGTAGCTTTTACTGTATGTCTCCAATTAAGCAAGGACAAGTAAGCCAATCAGAATATACCTTCTGCTTATACCTGTATATCTGGCAGGTCTTAGGGTTAGCAGAAATGCTTCATTTTGCCTAACCACTTCTCAAACTTGTTAATAATTCAAATGAAATCATGACCAAGATGGTGTTTGGATATTTTTATTTCTCTGTTTTCTCCTTATTATTAGTTTCAATTGAAAGGATATATTGAACATTCAAGACCATGCTTGACCATATTTCCCCACAACTCCAAGTTTGTCAAAAATAATCTGCTACTCATCATAAGAGTGTTTGGAAATGGTTAACGTGGTCAGACACATTCCATCAGTCCTTTGTGCTTGATATATTACATGAAGATACTTAAGTTAAACCATTCTAGCTTAACAACAGCAATTAAAATAACTACAAGAAAAACAATTTTAAAAACTCTAAAGACAAAAATAATGAAGAATATTTTGATCGTGTATACTAAAGGGATCCACAGTCGAGTGTCAATAGATACCCTCAATCAACACCTTCGATCGACATCTTGATCAATACTCTATCAAAATCCCCATAGATACTCAGTGGACACTCGATCAACACTTTATCAACAGTCAGTTGATAGTCGACTGAGTGTTGACTGACTGACTCATGCATCGATAGAAAATTAGTTGATTCTTGACCAACTGTCGACTGAGATGTTGATAGGTTGTCGATGGAGTGACAGTCAAGGGTCGATCAGGGTATTGATTCAGGGTATTGATCAACATTCAGCCGCGGATGTCTTTAGTACACATGATTTAAATATTCTAATTTAGTAATTACAAGTAGGTAAGACTGCATTTTGTACAGTATTCAACATTCATTTCATTCATTAGATGACTAAGAAAATCAATTAAATTTCTTAGTGACCAGGCTGACCAAGTGTGAAAAGCTGCTACCATTGAATCAAATACCGTCATATTGATTAC